CTCTCTATACTACGCTCCCTGATGTGAGACTTTGGGAGGGACAGCAAACACAGCGGCTCTCTCCTGACGCTCTTACCCCAGAGCCCTGCTGCAGGGGAGTCCCATATGTACCCCAGGCCTCCTCGGGAGGCCTCTGGCCCCCCTCTCTATGACGAGGCTGTGTCCCTGCTCAGCTCAGCCTGACCAGTGGGTCATCTGAGTCCCCAGAACTGTTGCCCACTGGTCACCCTGCCCCATAACTAGACGGTGCTCCGCCCAGCGACCCCAAGACCAGCCACCCGAAGCGAGTCGCACCAGGGGCTCACCTACTCACTGCGGAGGGTTCTAAATCTGCAGCTCAGGTAACTGGAAAACAAGTGACTGGAATCTCCACCCCAGGGTTGCTAAGGCCAAACGCCTGCCAAATCTGGGTGCTAGGCTGGGTTGGACTCTGCCCACCATCCGTAAAACCACATTAACCAGGAAGCTTAGAGGACGGGGCGTTCTGATTAACTGGATTCACTGGATATCTTAAGGGTTACTTGCAAAGTCTTTCTATAAGGTCCAACTTGAATAGCAAAAAAATTGGGAAGACTGAAAGGTCCAGCAATAACATATATAATCTTGGGTGGTTCGTTTAATGGAAAACCATGAAGTCATTCCAAATGTTAGAGAAGAACGTTCAATGCCTGGAAAAATGGTTATAAGTTATTAAGTGAAGTGTTTCAGAACACTAAGCCCATATTTGTAAAAAACAAAAAATACAATTTATTTACTGCTTATATATAGTAAGATGAAAAGACACGAAAATGCTCACCCTGCTCCGTATCTTTGGGTGTTGATATGACAGATGACCTTTTAAATGTAGTTTTTCTTTCTTGCTTTGAAAAGGTGGTACATTTACATGGTTCAGATTCAAACAAAGTTATCAAGTAAAAGTATCTCCTGGTGTCTAGCATCTCCGTCTCCCAGGCACCCAGTTCTCACCTGCAGGCAACTTGTGGGGTGCTATTTCCTGTGTACCTTTCCAGAGACATTTTATGCACATAAAGTAGCTTTCCTTCCCTTTTATGCAAAATAGCATATTCTATCTACACCTTATTCTGTACCTTCCTGCCTGCCCTTGATAGAGCTCGGCAATACTTCCTTACCTCTATATGAAGAGCTTTAAGAAAAAAAAAAGATTTTATTTATTTGAGAGAGAAAACAAGTGGAGGGGAGAGTCAGAGGGAGAGGGAGAAGCAGGTGGGGCTTGATCCCAGGGATCCGGGATCATGACCTGAGCTGAAGGCAGAAGCTTAACCAACTGAGCCACCCAGGCGCCCCTATAAAGAGCTTTTTCATTCCGTTTTCCCCCCAAAATCTAGTATTCCACTATATGGATGTATCTAAATTTATATAACCCATGCCTTACTGATGGACCTTGGAGTGGGTAGACTGTGGCGAGTTGAATTGTGTCCCCCCAAAAGATATGTTCAAGTCCCAACCCCCAATACCTGTGAATGTGACCTTATTTGGAAATAGGACCTTTGCAGATATAATTAAGGATTATATAATTAAGGATTTTGAGATAAAATCGTCCTGGGTTTAAGGTCCACCGATACACCTAAGGCCCTAAATCCAGTGCAGGGTGTCCTTACAAGAAAGGGAGAGGACACACACAGAGAGACACAGGGAGAAGGCCACACGAAGACAGAGGCAGATGTGGGCCCATGTTCCTACAAACCAAGGAATGCTTGGGATGATCGCTAATATTCTTTGTGGTTTTGTTTTCGTACCTGGGTTACATCTGTAATCTGGAAGAAAACATTAAAACATCTATGTTCAAGCTGCAGTAAGGAAAAACTGGCCTTCTTCCAACTCCGGTCCATTCTGCCCACAGAGCATGACATCCTCCCGTCACTCTCTGCTCAGAGAAATCAACAGCTGCTGAGAGCCTACTATGTGCCGTGATGCATGGCAGTGGCTTCTGATCACCTAGGAGGCAAAGCCCCACCCTTGGCCTGTCATTTGATACCTGCCATATTGTGGCTTTCTTGATCTACTAGGAGAATGGGAACTTCCATGGATTAACCAGGTCTTCTGAGCCAGCCCTAGAAGCAGCCCTGGTTGCGCAGATCAACCTGATTAAAAGCATGGATGCTGGAGACAGACGCCCGGGTTCTAAACCAGCTCTTAACCCAGCATTTAGCAGCCACGTGACTTCGGGCAAACTACCTAATCTCACTGCTTCAGTCTCATCGTTTGTAAAACAGGTGAGTACCTACCTTGTAGGGCTGATGTGATGGCAAAACGAGTTTTATGCCAAGTGCATGGAACAGTGCCTAGCACGGAGTAAGCGTCACCAAGCAACAGCTGTCAACAAGGCCCAAAGGAGCATGTGAAGTGAGCTGCCAAGGCCACAGAGGCCTTGAATCTGTCCAGATGCTTTTCTCTGAGACTCCCGCTTCAAATACGTTTTGCTCACTTCTTAGTCATCTATTGCCATGTAACAGTATCCCCACAAATTTAGCAGCTTAAAAAATTTACTGGCTGTTTCTCTGGGTCGGGAGTCTGGGCCCAGCTTGGCCGGGTCCTCTGCACAGCTGCAGTCAAGACTTGGCCAGGGCTGGGGCTCATCTGAACGACCAGCTGGGGAAGAACCGGCCTCTAGGCTCCCAGGCTCCTGTGGTTTGGGCGGGCGGTGCTCCGTTCTTTGCAGACTGCTGGACCAGGAGCTTTGGTCCCCTGTTGGCGGTCAGCCTGAGGCTGCCCTAGTTCCTTGCCTCTTTGACCCTCCAACTGGGGCAGCACACACATGGCAGCTTGCTTCTCCAAAAGCAGGGAGAGAGGGTCTGTCTCTGGACAGATGTCCTGACAGCAGGACAGATGTCATGTTCTGTAACGTGATCACGGAAACATCTTGTCACCTTTGCCTTATCATGTTGCTCAGAAGTCACGGGTCTGGCCTACGTTGGAAGATTACATGAGATGTGCACACCTGGTGGTGGCAATTATGGGAGCCACCTCCGTCTGTCACGGTATTCAATCCCCCTGCTCTGTAGAGCGCAACCCAGGCCTCACATCCCCCCAACCCCCACCAACTTGGAAGCTCCAGTCAGGTGTCTTGAGTAGAGAGAAGCCTGGTTTGGTAGTGGGGATTTTCCTGGGGACCCTAGTCCCACAGCAGGGTTTTTTTTTTTCCCAGCCAGGATTCCAGTTGGTGATGGAGAACACCAAAATGTTTCTTACCTCACCCCCACCCCTCACAGATCTGTCAAGGTGTTTTTCGGGTTAGATCCTTGACAGCTGCTTCACCAGAGTCCTCACCACCATTTTGAGTAATGGTTCAGGGTAAGTTATCTGATTCTAGATGAAGGTAATTAAGGCCAAACTATGGGATATGGGCACCTGCTAGTCCATCTATGCCTCCTGTGAGTGACATTTAAGGACGGAGCCTGCGGTCACCACCTAACCAGGAGAGAGCCTAGACCCAAAGCCCAGGTCCATCTCCAGAACCCAAGAGCCCACCTCCAAGGGGAGGTTCTTCCACTCAACGAAGGGCTCCTTCAAGGTAAGCTTCCTTTTCCAGCCTTCAAGTGCTTAGGAAGAAGATGGGATGTAATGGGCAACAGACGTAAAGTTTACTACTCCTGAGACTCCTTTGATGCAAATTCCTTACTCTTACTCCAAGGGCAGAGGACCCTTCATTCTAATTTTCTATGTCCCCCTCTTACACGGTTTATTAGCCAGAGCAGCGGTTTCCATAACTAACAAAAACTGCAGCTTTCTTACCGAACCCTCGAGCATGGGAAGTGCTGGGGCCTTTAGTTTTTGGCTTCTGCATGACTGTAGACCCTTACTATTCAGGAAGATGCTTCCATGGAGAGGTCTTGGGGGGAGGCAAGGGCCCTCTCCTACATTACAAGCTAAAAAGACGGTGCTCTTCCAGATGCACAGGGGAGAAGTTACTGGTTGCCTTAGGGCAACAAGACCCAATTCTCTTATTCTGGCTAATCTGACACCCTGGCACCAGACTTTAAATCTGGACACACGATCAGCGGTGAGAGGTGGCTGTGAGTCTAGCTGTGGCACCCTGGATGGCTTAGTGGCCATGCTGCCAAAAACATGTTCATCTTTGACATACATTGACAGAAGTAAAAATATTTATTTTTTTATCTTCGGAATCTGGTCCCACAAAAAGGCCAACACTTTTTTTCAGTTCATTGTCTTGACCCTTCAAAAAATCGATCTTTCAATTAAGAGGTAAAGAATGCTGAGAAAAGCAAATTTCGAGGTGTGCTCAGATAAAATTATTTCTCATAAACCAGTAATACAGGCAACCCTAGGCTTCCAGTTCACTCAGAACTCCTTCTGTCATGTACAGTCTCTGAAGGAGAAATGAAAATAGGAGGCTGTCTGCAGACAAGGCACTTCAGAAACCACAGCAAGGAGAAAACCCAAGGCCCCTGGGAACTGTGCTGGGAGCCTGTGAACCCAGAGAGCTGTCGGTGGACAGGACAGCCAGACCCCCCACCTCCATGAGAACAGTTCTGGCTTTCCTGCCCAAACATGCTTCCGGCGCCTGCCTCAGCCCGGCACTGCCCACCTGGCCCGGAAGACCCGGCAGCCAGGCCACTTGGCCAAGACGAACACTGCTTTCTGAAGCTCAGAGCAGTTCCTGCGGCAGACAGGGTGGAATGCTTTCCGCGGCCCCTGCTGGGGCATCTTGCAGGAGCAGTCCCTTTTGCAAAGGCAAGTCAGTGCAGATCAGCACGTTAGCAAAGCAAACATTAAAGATTTTTTAAAAGCTGACTAATACTCTTGATTTCCCTCCTGATTAGCTGTTCGAGCCGCAGCCTATAAACCTGCCAGAAATCAGGAAGGAATCCCCCCCCCACCCCGAAGGCACCTTGAATGAAGTGGCTACAGCCAATGGGAGTGAAGGCCCTCCTTCTGGACAGTGATCACGGGACACCTGTAACCACTGAGAAGGGCCCAGCTGAAGCCAGGTAGCATGCTCAACCCCTTCTTTTGCTCTGGGGGCTTGTGTTTAATGTGGGTCACTGCGATGGAAGCAGCAGTCTCAGAGTCTCTCATGTCAAGAGACGGACAGGGACAGGGATGCTGGAGCTTTCCTCCTCCTGTATTGTGGTTGCACACTCGAGTCCCAGCAAACAGTGTGACACTGTGCCAATTTACTGCCTAACATGCCAGTCTGTCAAGAAAGTCAGGTGAGGAGGAGAGGAGTCATGCTCCAAACAGAGGCTGGCTGGGGAGTGCTTCATCCTCCTTCCTTTGGCCCAGGTGAGGTGGCTCCTTTCCAGAAATTGTATGAGGAGAAAGAGGGGTTGCACTCAGATCAGAACTGGACCCAGCCTGTGCCTGGTTGAGTCTGGCTGGAAGTCGACCTGTAAAAGGAAAAAAGGGAGGGGTGGGAGAGTTTAGATGTTTGAAAATACAAAGTCGATAAAATGTGGCTTCTCTCTGGGCAAAAAGAGCTCCAAGAAGTCAGGCCCTGAATGTTCTAGAGCAGGGGTCAGCCAACTATAGCCCAGAGACCAAATCTAGTTCTCTGTTTCTGTAAATAAAGTGTTACCGGCACACAGCCACGCCCATTCCTTTACACACCATCTATGGCTGCTTTTGAGCCACAAAAGCAAGACTGAGCAGAGGCCATAAGGTCTGTAACGTCTAACTGATCGATCTCTATAGAAAACCCGCGCTGAGTCCTGTCCTGCAGACTACCCCTATAAACGGTGCAGTTAAGTTTTTAGCATCTCTTCACCTCGACTCCAAGGAAAGGCTTGAAGTTTTATTGAGGCAGAGAAGGCAAGAGACCATGAGGATAGGCCAAGGCTAGAACCAAGGCTAATTCTGCCCAGTGTTCTGGGAGAGCTGGGGCAGGGGTGGGGAGTGTGGAGTGGAGGAAGAGGGGAGCTGCTACTGGGGACAAGCCAAAGGTGGTTGGAAGACCCGAAGGAGTTATAGTGTAGCCCCAGGTCACCTAACAGTAGAGAGCAGTGAAAAGCCTTCATGGAGAGACGTATGCCACCCAAAGCAGGCACTCTGGGGCTCTGCCCTCTGCCTGGCCTGAAAACGTCCAAGTCCGAGCGGTTGCTCCAAACACCAGAAGAAAAGCATCTGGAACAATCCCAGGTTTCTAGGGACACAGCCCTGGCCCCAGTCCCGCCACAAAAATGTGAGCCTCTCCTCACCCTGTGGATTTGGTAAAGTCTCCCCAGATGTCGGTGGTGGCAGTCGTGGCAGGCTTGGGTTGCGGCCAGGACATGGTGGCACCTCCTACTGATGTCCCCAAATCCGTCAGGCAGGGAGAAAAGAAAAGGAGACAAAGGAGTCAGAAATCTCTCTTTCTGCTGGTCTCAGTGACCCTGAAATCAGTCTCATGATTCCGAGTGGCCGAGAAAGACACACAGAGACCTGCTCTGGGACAAACAAACAAACAAACAAACAAGCTGCCACATTTCCACCTGCTCATGAGCCCTTGGGGGCTCCTGGAGAAAAGTGGAAAGCCATATACATACAAGGTGGAAGGCAGGGTGCCAGTGAGGACGAGTCACACACCATCCATCACTCATGCCTGAAGCTGACCTTGTTTTCAACTGCTTATGTGTTGGCAATCTGTTTAAAATTCACTATCTCCCGCCCTGGCTTCTTGAATCTCCCGCCCACCGACGACGCAAGGTCATCTTCACATAAAGCCCTCAGTCCAGGGTCTGGATCAACTGAATGAAAAAGTTATGCTCCAGAAATGTGCCAAGTGCTGGGACCCAAAGTGGTTAGGGTTTGGGGCAAGCCTTCCAGAAGCAGCAACACAGAAGCCAGTATCTGTGTGTATCTCTTCATCAAGGTGGGGGCACATGGGGCTACCGTGCCTGCCTCTGTGCTTTGCCAGCACCTCACCCCGTGCTGCTGTCCCTGCTAAAGGCCCGGTGCCTTCCTCCCTCCGCCCTCCCACCAATTTGCTATTTCTGATCTGCTCTGGGCCAGGAGACCAGGTAGCATCCCGAGGGCCCTCAAGGATTTAGTTTTGTAGCTCGCCAAGTGCTTAGTGTGCACTGTCTCATTCAGAGCCATCACAGTCCGTGGGGGAGGACAGGCCAGGACCAACTGTGTGACTTGACGCGCATCCCTCGAGTCTGTCTCCTTATCTCTCAAACAGGGGTGAGGGACAGTGACAGTGACTACTTCACAGAACCAGTCTGCGCCGCAGGAGCTAATACAGTGAATGCTTGGAGAAGGCCCAGCACGCGGTGGTGATAATGACCACATTAGTGGAACGAGACCTGACAAACACAAGCACTGAGTGTTTTAGGTATTGTTCACGGATCAGCTCATTTGATCCTCACAAGAAACCCACACCATAGGCTATCATGACTGCCCCCATCCTACAGATGAGAAAACTGAGGCACAGAGAAGCAGGCAATCTTCTATCACGCAATTGATAAGCTAGAATGTGAACTCAGCCAGTCTGGTTTACAGGATATACTAAGTGCTCAAGAAATGGTAGCTCTTCGTGGCTCATTATCTGACACCATTTTGTCTGCAGACACCCTAACTGCCTGTCTTGTACGTTGGAATGTAAGCCCTTGGGGCACCTGGGTGGCTCAGTCAGTTAAGTGTCCGACTCTTGACTTTGGTTCAGGTCATGATCTCAGGGTCATGAGATCAAGCCCCACATTGGGATCTGTGCTCCGAGTGGAGTCTCCTTGAGATTCTCCCTCTCCCTCTGCCCCCATCACTCTCGATTTCTCAAAATAAATAAATAAAATCTTAAAACAAAACAAAACCATAAGCCCTTCAGAGCGGGAACTTGGTGCTGTACTTGCAACATTCCCAGGGCTTAAAACACTGCCTGGCACATAGTAGATACTCCATATTAGATGTTAAACATGCACCAGCAACCGAGGGAAGGCCTAAGATAGTGGCTCTCAGACCTCAGTGAGCATACAAATAATGTTAGGAACACAGATTCCTGTCCACGTTCCTGGTGATGCCAAGGCAGGTGGTCCTGTTACTCTGAGAAACAATGCTGGAAGAATGGTTCCTCGTTCTGTGGCAGAGGCTGGCTGACCACTACTCCTGCCCACTCCTGGGCTGGGAATTCCCCACAAGGCTGAGGTTGGAAGCCTGACCGGCAGATGGGGAAGCCTATGTCCACACCCTTAAAAGGGAAAGAAAGCAGGCTTCCTGCAATCCTGTCCTCTAGAACCTAGTGAGATCTGTATGGAGAAATCACCCAGCCTGGGGAAGGCTTGGAACATCAGCTAGGCTGGGCGGGTAGGGTGGGGAGGCCAAGGAAATGGGCTAGCTCCCCATCTCTATCGGTGGCTCGTACTGAGCACTAACTTCTGGAATCCCAGGGTCACCAAAAGGCATTCCTTACACCTTAGAACAAGCACCAGCATAGCGTGCTGGGCGAGTTGCCTCTTGGCTTGCCAGCATCCCGAGGGCCTTACCAAGGACCTTGCTCTAAACTAAACCTCCGATTTTATTTTCTACCACTCACCTTGGCATACTTATGCTACATCCATTTCCCTACACACACCAGGTGTTTAAAAATCTGAGCCTTAGTCACACTCTTCTGTCTGGAACGCCAAGCGTCCCCTGCCCCCATCTCCTTCCTTCAAGGCCCACCTCCAATGCCACTTTTTCCATGGAGCCTCCCCACATCATCCTGGCTGGTCATATGTGGACCCATACAATTGGTCTTTGTGCCCAGGACTCCTGTCTCCTACCAGATATGAGCAGACCATGTCTCTACCACCCACCCACCCACTCGACAAACACTAAGCAGCTTCTAAGAACCAGGAACCCACATGCTGATGCTTTCATAGCAAATCGGTGTCACAACCAACAAGCTGCAGCCCCCACCCATCGGGGGTAGACAGAGGCACTGAGGGGGGGGGATGTGGCAGGTATCAGGGAAGAGAAGAACCCCTTACCCAGTCTGGGCAGGATGAGCTTCGTGGTGTCACAGACAGGTACACATGATGGACAGTGTGAGTGAAGGAGGGAGCACCACAGGGCCCCAGCTGCACCTGCAGGGAGAGGAACCCGCAGGTGCAGCTTTTGCAGCAAGTACAGTGACTCCCGAGCACTGACCTGAACTGGGAGCAACTGCTGTCTGGACGAGGGATCCCCCCCCAGACAACTGCTCCACAGGCGGGGGGATCAGGATGGAGGACTTCCCCCCCGGGGGCGGGGGAAGCAGGTTCAGTCCTCCTGTGCTGGCGGGCCGTGCTCGGGGACTCCCAGCTGCTCCTTCCTTCTTCTTCATGTTCTGAAGAGAGGTGAGGGATGCAAACCAGTCAGTTCTGCCGGGGTCCCCCTGCTTATCGGAAAACCCCACAAAGAGGGCCCAGGTGGCCCCCAAGCCCCAAACGTCTGTATAACCAAAAGATGGTCAACAGCTGCCCAGCACTCACTGTGGTGAGCTGTGCTCAAAGCATCACAATTCCAGAGCTATCCCAAACACATCTAACTCGAAAACTCAGCCCTGGCTTCATTAAGCATTAGGGAAATACAAATTAAAACTACAAATCAAAACGAGTGCTATACCATTACACACCCACCAGAATGGCCAAAACGTAGACTATCAAGTACTGACAAGGATGTGGAGCAACCAGAACGCTCACTCACACACTGCTGGGGGGATGTAAACGGGGAACGCTACCTGGAGAAACTGTCTGGAAGAATCTATAAAGCTGAACATGTGAACTGATGACCCTACAATTTCCCTCCTAGAAACAGACCCCACAGAAACACATACTCATGGCACCGAAAGACATGCACTTGCACTTTCACAGCCGTTTACTATTTGTAATAGCTCCAGACTGGCAACTACCCCAGTGTTCACTGTCAGTTAAAGAGTAACACTGGGGGGCACCTGGGGAGCTCAGCTGGTTAAGCGTCTGACTCTTGGTTTCGGCTCAGGTCATGATCTCAGGGCTCAGGTCGTGATCTCAGGTCGTGAGATTGAGCTCCATGTGGGGCTCTGCGCTCAGCAGGGAGTCTGCTTGAGGATTCTCTCTCCTTCTCCCTCTGCCCCTCCTCACCTCAAATAAATAAATAAATCTGAAAACAATACCCGCAGAGTACCACTGTGATGCATTCTCGCAATGAAATACACCACTGCAGTGACAATGGACAAACTACGAGCAACAGAACAGAGGCAGATTTTGTTTGAAAACAAAATCTAGGGCATTCCACTCAGGACCGTGGTGACTCTGTCCTGCGGACAAGAACAGGAGAGGGGCTTCCAGAATGCGGATGATCTCTGCTTTTTTTTTTTTTTTAAAGATTTTATTTATTTATTTGAGAGAGAGAGAGAGCATGAGAGGGGGGAGGGTCCAAGGGAGAAGCAGACTCACTGCTGAGCAGGGAGCCCAATGTGGGACTCGATCCCGGGACTCCAGGATCATGACCTGAGCCGAAGGCAGTCGCTTAACCAACTGAGCCACCCAGGCGCCCCTAATCTCTGCTTCTTGATCTGGGGGCTAGTTTGCGTGGGTACATTTGGTTTTCAAAAATTCACAGAGTTCTGCATTTATAATGTGTGCACTTTTCTGTATGCATATCATACTTCCATAGAACATTAAAAAAAAGGGGCGCCTGGGTGGCTCAGCCAAGTAAGCATCTGACTTCAGCTCTAGTCATGATGTCAGTGTCCTGGGATCAAGCCCTCTATCGGGCTCCCTGCTCAGTGGGGAGTCTGCTTCTCCCTTTCTCTCTCCCCCTGCCCCTGCTCTCAATAAATAAAATCTTAAAAAAATAAAATAAATAAATAAAAACAAAAACAAAAACCTGAGCCCCGATGTGAGCCAGAAACCAGTGCCAAGTTACAAAGATGAAGACACAGCTCCCACCTTGTAAGGAGCAGCAGCTTAACCCAGCGCTAAGACCACAGCCGTAAAGCCAGAAGCCTCAAAGCCCTCAGTCAGAGTCCAGCTGTGCTGGTTATTTCCAGCTCTATGACCTGGACAAGTCCCTTAAACTCTCTAAGCCTTATTTCCTTGCCTGTAAAATGGGAGAATGCTTAATTCATATAAGTGCCTAAAAAAACACTACCTGGCACACAGCTGATGCTCATTAAATGTTAATTTCCTCCCAGCAAGAGAGGAATCACATCCCAACCAGTCCACTGGACATGACCTGTATTTTCTCTTAAGGGCCAGCTGGCCAACGTCAAAGGTCCCAAATCATCACCAGCATGAAGCAGAAAAGAGGAGAAAGAGATAGTAAATAAAGAGTAAGTAAAGAGGAAGAGCATTATCTTAGGGTTACAAAGTTTCTTCAAAAAACATTTCCATGTGGTTCTTGGTTCCCCCAAATCACTCCAACCCCACTCCCTCTAGTCCGGTGAAGACCGAGTCCTGGACACCCAGCCCAGCCCTACCTTTTCCCATTCTCCACAGGAGCTAACAAGGGGAAACCCAGATGCAGGGCAGCTCAGGATGAAGACACGGGGTGTCAGGACACCACCCCCACCAGCAGAAGCTGCCCATGAATCCCAGCACCCACCTCAACACCTTCCTGTCCAGAGCTCTTCCAAATCTTCCTTACTCGAGGTGCAAGGCCAGGATGCAGCTGACCCCCATTCTAAGAGCCTGGTCAGAAATGCCAGCCCTGGGAGCAAGTGACTGATGCTTCTTTTCAACTCAGAGGCTTTGCACATGCTGTTCCCTCTGCTTGAACCGCCTTTTGATCTCCCTCTTTCCCCTTCCTTACAGGTCACTTCTTCCAGGAACCCTTCCTTGCTTCCCCTAACCATGGGCTGCATGCCCCTCCTCTAGGAGCTCATGGCACTGCGCTGCATCCCCTCCCCTGCCAGGCTGTGGTCACATCTTGTCTCGCCCGTCTCCGTTTAACTCTGAGCTCCACGAGAGCAGAGCTCTCTCGTTCACCCCCCGGCACAGGACCTTGCAAAAGGCCGCTGATCCACAAACATCTACCCAACTGATGGAACTGAAGGCTGGGGAAAAAAGGGGTGGGCTCTGGGCCGGGGCTGGGTGCTGGCCAACAAAGCCAAGTGAGGGTGGGACTCACCGCGATGTTGAGCTTGATGGTCTGGCCCTCTTTGAAGCCTAGGTCCAACTTGGGGCCCTGGTCTGGGTTCTGGGCCTGTTTTGCAAATTCACACTGCTGTCTCACCCACCTGGGCAGGGGACAAGAAAAAGGTGAGGAAGAGACCGGCCGCCCCGCATTCCCTCCCTCACTCCGTCTCCACCGGCCACCGCTCCAGGAAGAGGTTTTGTATGGCAGAAAAAGCACACGCAGGCTTGCAAGCTGGGCCTGAATTCAAATCCTGACTCTGCCACATAAGTAGCTGCATGCACATCAGTTTCCTCATCAACAAAATGGGAATACAATTCTGTATGTGTTAAAGACAGCTATGAGAACTCAGTGAGCTCATGGATGTAAAAGAAGGTCCTGACACCGGGGTTCAGGAAATCTGAGAACCTGGCCCTCTCCTCCCTAGCACTTGGCATGAGGACTAGGACAGTGTAACCACACCCCCCACTCATAAGGACTCGTAAGGTAGATGGTGAGACAAGACAGACGCCCAGGAAATAGAGAGCAACACAAAGGTCCCCCCACCCTCCACGCAATACCCATCTAGCAGCCCCCTGGGCACGGACAGCAGGCCAGGGAAGGGCCAGAGGTGCCCACGTGAGTTGCTGCACAAACTCCAACTTCCCAGCGGCCAGAGATGGAGGCCTGCTGGTGGCAGGGGAGCAGTTTTCCCTGCCCTTGTCTTTCAGCTTTAGAAAGGACTCCCAGGACATCTGGCGGGTGGCCACCTGCCACCACTTACTGTATCACGGAGGAATAGGCTCAGGAAGGCCCCATGAGCCTCCCACGGCCTCCGGCTCCTCTGGTGCCAGTAAGGGAAGAGATATGGCAGCTCAGAGGCTGGGCCCGCTGACCAGTGAGACACAGGGCCAGGGGAAAGGGAAAGGACTGGAAAGGAGAGAAGGCAGCCTGCCCCACAGGAGCAGTGAGTCTCCCGGAGGCTCTGCTAGCAGACGAATCCCACACAACCAGCCGGGTATCCTAAGCTGGGAAACCATTCTGTCCAGGGAAAGCAGGGAGGAGGCATGAGCACCTGTGGCCTGGAACCACTCACTTGAAATGGTCCTGCAATGCAACATTGAAGTCAAAGGCATCGCCTCGGTCCCCGAAGCCAATTCCAATAAACGCCCGGCGCCCTGGGGGACAACACATGATTAATCCCACTTGCCAGAGGCAGAGGAAACCATTCTCATGAGAAGGACCCCCCCCCCCCCGCAGACCCGCACCTACCATTTCCATCTTCGATGCGGATAACGAAGTACCTGCTGGAATCCGTCACGCTCTCCACAGCTGTGCCAGGAAACTGATCCACCGGGGCCTGAGCAAAGAGCTCCCCTGGAAGTACAAGTTAGGGTGAAACTTGAGCCCCCTTCCAGCCTGACATTTCTATCACACCACTGGGGTCTTTTTCCTGAAAGGCAGCGAGGCAAACCTTACTCGGGTTCAAATCAAATCCATTCTGATGGAAGAGGAGACACAGACCTATAACCAAGGAAAGGTTTAAGTCAGGAGTGGCCTGCAGGTCAGATACAGCCCAGTGTTAATATTCTTAATTTAACTGCCAAACTTTTCAAAATCAAATTACATGTAAAATAATCCAGATTTCTAGTCTTCTCTGACAATCCAAAGCTCTAGCAATGCTGGAACTCCATTCCCACAGGAGGGCTGAGCTAGAGCTGACCTGCCCACACCCAAGGGCCCCGGAGCAGGCAGGCCCTGGTCCAGGTACAGCATAACCTCAGAAAAGGCCTGGGACCTGAGGCAGGACTGTAGAGGAGCCGCGGAACCCAGTGAAAGAGGGTTTGGGCACCTACAGAAGAATGTGAAGCAGGGGCGCCTGGGTGGCTCAGTCGGTTAAGCGTCTGCCTTCGGCTCAGGTCATGATCCCAGGGTGCTGGGACAGGGTCCTGCGTCGGGCTCCTTGCTCAGCAGGGAGCCTGCTTCTCCCTCTGCCTGCCTCTCCTCCTGCTTGTGCTCTCTCTCTCTCTCTCTGACAAATAAATAAATAAAATCTTTAAAAAAAAAAAAAGAGGAGGAGGATCTGAAGCAGCTGAGATAGGCCAAGAGGACCACCGGTTTTAAAAGGGGCCCCTGTGGAATGCAGCCCTTGTCACTCCGGTTCTCTAGGCCCCAGGGCAGCGCACACCTTTGGGGGCGTTCTGGACTCGCATCACTTCTGCAGGTGCTGACCTCTGTTCGCGCTTCCAGTACTTGACCAAGGCTTCTCTACTCAATGCTGGGGTTCACAGGTGACTGTGCAATCAAGGCTGAACTGAATCCAAATCGGTGGACCCCAAGTCTGTAGCTTCTTGATAATTTCTCTGCCACCCTAGTTTGGTCCCTAGGGATCTGGGACTCACCTGGACGCCTTCAGCCCAGAGCAGTGATTCTCAACCAAAGGTGGTTTTGCTCCCCGTCCACCCCCAGGGATATGTGGCAATGTGTGAAGAGATTTTTGGTTTTCACACTTTGGCAGTGCTACTGGCATCTGGTAGACAGAGGCCAGGGGTGTTGCTACATATCTGAAATTTGACAGCCCACAACACTCCCGTGGCCCAAATGCCACTAGCCTTGGCCGAGAAGGAGTGCAGAGTGAGAGACAAAGAAGACCCAGCAGGCCTAACCCCGAGCGAAGAGCATGCTGGGGTGGCTCCTGCAGGGGAGGCTCAGCTCTGGGCAGTGGCTGTTCCACTAGGCTGTCACCGTAAAGTCCGTTCCCAAGGCTCCCAGAAAACAGGTGTTGCCATGCCTTGTGAGATCACCCAGCAAATCTCAAAGCCAGAGTTCTCTGGCCTAGTCACAGCAGCTGTCTTTTCAAACTCCTCTGCAGCCAATACCCAGCCGGCCCCATGTTCCAGAACAAATCAATGCTTTGGGTCACCTTGCAGTTCACAAAGCAACTGGATAAATGTGTGCTCACTTCGTATTTCCAACAATCCTGTGAAGTATGAGCTAATGGGATCCCCATTTCAAAAAGGAGGCCAAGGCACTAGAGGTCATGTGTGGCTCGCCCAAGGTCTCACAGCTCAGACACAAGAGATGCAGTTCTCAGAGGCAGCCGGTTTTGCCTATGACGCTTTACACTTGGTCCCATCCCACCCAGGAAAATCTCTACATGTTAGAAAAATAAATGACCGAATGCCACAGTGCCCGATGCCTGCTCTGGGGGCTGGGGCTCTTTCAGACCGCATTGCCCTCCACAGCTCACCCGGAAGCCCTGGTGGCACATGACTTCCAGACAGATTTCCCCTAAGGTGACATCTGCCAGCTGACCCCAACACAGCCCGGCCTGGCTTGGCCTTTCACCAAAGAGCTGAGTAGGACAGCTTCCGGCTCTTTCAGTTAATGGGCGTGGTCAGTCTGGGGAGTTACCATTTAGTTGATAAACAGAATTCCTGAGTAAGAAGCAGAGCTCAACTGCAGAGGGTTGTGCATCTTCCCCCCAAAGCTGGTCTTCAAAGCAAACTCTGGGGCTTCCTACCTGGGACCAACCTGTAGGTCTCCTCTTCCTGGATTCCAAAATTAGTATGTTCTTAAGGATGCCCCCCACCAAAGACAGGTGCTTGACAGGAAATACTCCCTTCTACACCTGGAGACAGTGCTTTCTACAATTAAAGGTGGGGGGAATGGAGGCGGCTTAGAGGTACAGCTGGGCCTTTGATTTCGAGGTTCGGTTCCCATGACCCGAGTGGACTGGCCAGGGCTGCCTTTCCCTTCACAAAGTAGGAGGTGTGGCATCTCAGCCCCACTAGGGCCTCCGCTGCCTTTACCTGAGGTCCTGTCCTCCAGCTTGATGTAGGCCACCTGCCCTTTTGCAGTGATCCGCAGCCGGCCACTCCATGATGGCTGGTCCAGCTGCCACTCCGCGGCCCTAAGGGGACAAAAACCATGCTGGGGACGGGAATGGGGAGGGCATGTGGGCTGCTTGCTCGGGACCAGAGGCTGGCAAACTTTCTCTGAAAAGGGCCATCCCATCCCTGTCACCACTACCCACTCTGCGGTTGTAGGGCAAAAGCAGTCATCGACAGTACAGGAACGTGCTGGCGCTTTACATATTTGAAAGGAGTGTTTTCTGCTGCGTGTGACTGTATTTCAGCGCAACTTTCTGGACACTAAAAACCTGAATTTCATATAATTTTCACATTAAGAAATACTCCTTTTAAAATGTTCCCCAACTATTTAAAAATGTAAAAACCGTCCTTAGCTTGTGAGACATACAAAAACACAGTGGGTCGCAGTTTGCTGACCCCAGTTCTAGACTACAGAGACTTTTTCCCAGAAGTAGGACTTCCAGTCCCCTTTCTGTAAAGGAAGCAGTTCCTGGGCCTGCTGTTTCAGACACTGCTGGGCTGAGGGGGCCAGAGTGACCATTTGGGACCAGTGAGATGATCTCGGAGGAAAGGCGGGGCGGGAGCAATCATATAGCAGAAAGAGACCAGGAGAGCAACTATACATGTGAGGAAAGTGGATGGGTGTTCAACAAATATAACCCCAAAGGTGTCCCAGGCCGAAAGAACCCCAGGAAACCATGGACCTATCACAATAGCTTCTTTGGGGACTTTTAAAGCAATAACTTCACATTTTACTTCTAAGAAGTGTTCTGTAAAACCCCCAAATAGCAAGAACCTTGGGTGTTTTCAAGAGGGTTTTCCTGGAAGTCCCCAAGTGACTCCATTAACTATGGACACAGATTGTTTGAAGGCCACACAAATGCAGACTCTCGATTCACAATCAGCAGGCTCAGTTTCAGTTCCTCCTAGTGGGGCAACACAGGCCTTAGATCCAAGCTAAGAGGAGCTCTGAGGGTGAAGGGCAGGGGCTGTCAGTTTCCTCTATGCCAAACCAGCCAGCCTTGACACTTGGGAACCTCACTCTCGGGGGGCCAGGAGGGACCAAACCCATCCTACTGAAGGGGATCAGAGTAGACTGACCATCCCGGGTTTGGTGTCCCATCTCCAGTTTGATAACAGAAAGCAAACGTGTTTTTGTAATTGTTTCTTTTGTTGCTTTCGTACTACTTTTAAGTTACACCATGCATGTACTAGGTGTTCAATAAAATAATCTGTTATCTAGAAAATCAGCTACAAGTCTGTGTTAACACAATTGGAAAGTAACAAGAGGCCAGATATGTGGACACTCCACCATTCTTGTGGTGCAGGCCAATCCTGCATTTCCAAATCACAGACAAACATTGCCTTCAAAAGCGACCCCACCCCCGACCCAGGGACACAAAATAGCTACAGACCAGGTTGTCTGTAACAGGTACATCTTTTGTTTTCTTCCCTTCTTTCCATAGGTAACATATAGGCTTGGTAACAAAATGCAAACAGCACAAAAAAGCATACCGTAAAAGGAAGTCTCCTTCCAACCCCCACTGCCCGCCCGCAGCGCCCTTTCCTGCGTTCCCTTCCAGACCCTACAAGCATCTGTTTATCCCTCTCAGGGGAACATTTCTCTAGAGAAGCGCAGACGGACTCCTCCCAACCGCCACAAGCTGTGATAAGGCCTGAGGTTCGTGCAAGGGAGCTGGGCAGGGAGGGGTCCCTGGGCTCTGGCCATCCGCTTACAGCTGCTGGGACGGGTCCTTTTGGTCAGTTCTGAGCTGTTTTCCTTCCCCTGGGGATTTCCGCCCGTGATAGGACCCCTCCCCCTTCAGGCTTTTCAAGGTTCCCTTGAAGGCCACCAATTAGGGCTGAAAGAAAAGGGCTTGTGACACCACCACCCCCAACCACGCTTGGGGACACGGCTAGACACGGCTCCAACGCCTTCCCCGCGCTGGGAGCCCCGTGCGGCAGACTGAGACAGCCCCAAGTCTGGGTCTCCCTCCCTGCTCTGGCCTCCCAACTGGGAGAAACCGCAGTATTAACTCCCGCCTCTCCCCTAAACCGGCCGGGGCCGTCCTCGGCTCCCGCGGTGGGCGTGTCGGGCGGCGGGGAAGGGGTTAAATTGGGGTTAGTCTGGCCTTGCGGCAAGCGGTCACCTGTAACCACGGTTGGTGGCTCGCGGCGGGATGCGGTAGACGTGGACCTCCGGCTTGACACAGAGCACTGATTCGTACTCGCCCTCCTCCATCTCGACACCCGGAGCTAGCCGGACTTCCGGCTCCTTCCCCGCCTCGGGGCCGGAAGCGACGCGACTCTATGACCCGGGTCAGGCTAGAGCGGCAGCTTGCGGGTCTCAGCACGATTGTCTCCCGCGCGCCCTCTGCTGGCGACTCTGGCTCAAGACACGCGGCGGACGGATCCTGGAGCCACGTGATTAGGGACAAGCGCTTTTGGGGAGCTTCCGGCTCCCGCTAGGCTCCTTGCGCAGCAGGGAAAACTTCGGTGCAGACCCCACCGCAGTCCGTTGTTTGGTTGTGGATCATCCCCATCCCCTTAGCGCTTACACTTGAGGTCCAGTTGGCTGAGATTCAAAGCTGTATCTACCTACACAGCTCACCCTGTAGCAAATCTCTCCTCTGGCCTTTACTTTCCCAGGCTCTTCGTGAATGTCCTTCCTTCTCCCGACTCTAGAAGCCTCCACTGAGGCTCCTCCTCGTAGAGAGAGGCTTACCAGACCCACTACTAAGTGGGGCGCCACCCTTATCCTCACCCACCACGTGCCCAGGGCCCAGTGTGGCCTCGACTCGACAAAAAGAGCAAAGTCGACTAATTTAAGTCATGAAAAAGGACTCCCAGTCCTAACTTGGATTTCTCACAGAATGTCATAGGGGATACATTTTGTCCAACCATAGTCAAATTCTAATTCTCAAAATCCCTTCTCCTTTCCACGGTTATTTACTAAGCAATTATTTATTGTTTACACTGTGCCAGGTCCTCCGTGGGGAACAGCTGATCCCAAATCTTTACTTCACTGAATGCTCCCAAACTTGCTCCCCCCGCATCTCCTCTCTCCTCTCTCTCCGGTACTCACACTGTATAACTTCTTTATTATAGAATTAATCTAACCTCTTAAAAGATCTTTTTTTTTTTATTGTGGTAAAATATACATAGCATACACTTTAGCACTTTAACCATTTTTGAGAGTGCAATTCAGTGGAATTAAGTACATACACAATATTGCATGACTATCACTGCCATTTCCAGGATTTTTTCATCTTCCCCAACAGACACTCTGTACCCATTAAACAATAACACCCCCTTTCCCCCTTTCCCCAAGCCCCTGGTACCCTCTATCCTGGGCTTTCTGTGTCTATGAAATTGCTTATTCTAGAAACCTCATATAAGTGGAATCATACATCTGTCCTTTGTATCTGGCTTATCTCACTTAGTATAATGTCTTCAAGGTTCCTCCCTGTCATAGCAGCTATCAGAATTTCATTCCTTCTGATGGCTGAATGGTATTCCACCATGTAGATATTCCACATTTGTTTACCCAGTCCTCTGTTGATGGACTTCTGGGTTCTTTCCACCTTTTGGCTCCTGGGAATAATCTGCTATTTTTGAGTCCCTGTTTTCGGTTCTCTCAGTATCTATCTAGAAGTGGATTTACTGGGCCAAATGGTAATTTTATGTTTAGCTTTTTTGAGGAACCACCAAACTGTTTTCCTTAGTGGCTGCACCATGTAACGTTCGCGCCGGCTCTGAACAAGGGTTCTGATGTTTTCACCTCCTCACCAATACCTTTTTCCATTTCTTTGATCACAGCCATCCTGGTGGGTGTAAAGTTAACTTCTCTTTATGTGAATTGATTTAACCTCTAATTTCAACTTTTCTCATTACCCTGATTCTCTGCAACAAAGAAGAAATTGAGAAATGACCCAGAAAGTGAGATTTCTTCTTCCTTCTTCTTTGATCCTGTCTCTTATCTTCCTAAAGTCCTGGAGTGGTGAAGACAGAACTCCCCTTTAAAGGGAGGGGGGAGATATCGAAAGGGGCAGGGAGGACACACTCCCACACCGACAATCTTATCCCCTCACATTCCCACCATTAGGTTTATATGACTGTTCTCGCACCAGACTGTGAGCTTCTATTTTTTTTTAAGATTTTATTGATTTATTTGAGAGAGAGAGAGTCAGAGAGAGAGAGAGAAAGCACGGGGGTGGGGGGGGCAGAGGGAGAAGCAGGCTTCCCGCTGAGCAGGGAGCCCAATGTGGGGCTCCATCGCAGGACCTTGAGATCATGACCTGAACTGAAGGCAGCCGCTTAACCGGCTGAGCCACCCAGGTGCCCCAGACTGTGAGCTTCCTGAATGCGGGACCCTGTCCCTGTCATCTGCAGGAGCCAGTATTCAGCCGCACAGGTTTTGGCACAGAGTCAGTGCTCTGTGAATGAGTAAGTAAATGTGTGTGTGTTCAGTTGGCTGCATCCCAAAACCAAGTGGCAATTTGGGGACGTGCCACCGCATTTTCTCTTTCACGCTCTGACTCCTTGCATCAATACGTGCTGAACAACCCAGGGGAAGAGAGGGTATCCAAGGAGTAAAGCACCTGGACTCATTTAGAGTGAGAGAACTTCCAGCTGGGAGAGCATCTAGGACCAGCTCTCGAGAGCTGAACTTTGGGGTGGCGTCCACAATCAGCACCAAGCTCCATCACGTCCACTCTGGAAGCCAAGCAGTGTGAAGGCAGCACGCGGTGACTGGCCTCGCCATGTGGCTGCCGCAGGTGGGAAGCCTTCCCCTCATGAACTTCGGAGGGAGTCATCACTCCATGCCAGGGGACAGCCTGGCCTGCCAGCGTGTCACAACACTGGCAGGTCAGTTCCGTCTAACATACGCTGGGTGCTGGCGCCACAGGGATGAAGCCAACCCAGCTCCTGCTTTTTTTTTTTTTAAGATTTTATTTATTTATTTGACAGAGAGAGACACAGCGAGAGAGGAAACACAAGCAGGGGGAGTGGGAGAGGGAGAAGCATGCTTCCCGCGGAGCGGGGAGCCCGATGCGGGGCTCGATCCCACGACCCTGGGATCATGACCTGAGCCGAAGGCAGACGCTTAACGACTGAGCCACCCAGGCGCCCCCCAGCTCCTGCTTTCATCGAGCTCACAAGCCAGCGGACACAGCGAGGAAGAATCTTTACAATGCACGGGCGGGAAGTGCCAGGATGGAGGAATTCCCGGGGGCTGTGGGTGCCAAGAGAAGAGAGGCCCAACTTAGCCTGGGGCAGTCAGGGAAGGCTTTCCAGAAGAGGTCACAGTGACAGAATAATACCTGTGAGGTAGGCAGGGCAAAGATTGCTATCTCCATTGTGTAATGGAGGCCACTGAAATTGTGACAAGCCCCAGGGAAACCACACTGTCCTGCAGTCAGAGGAGGTCAGACAGTCCCTGGACTTCTTCTCAAACCTCCACCTCATAGCTGGGCATTGCCCAAAAGGCATTCCTAGACCTCTGCTTGAGAATAATTGGACCTATCATCTACTCCCAGGTTAATTACATTATTTTTTTTTAAAGATTTTATTTATTTATTTGACAGAGAGAGACACAGCGAGAGAGGGAACACAAGCAGGGGGAGTGGGAGAGGGGAGAAGCAGGCTTCCCGCCGAGCAGGGAGCCCGATGCGGGGCTCGATCCCAGGACCCGGGGATCATGACCTGAGCCGAAGGCAGACACCCAACGACTGAGCCACCCTGAGAGAGAGAGAGTCAGAGAGAGAGAGAGAAAGCACGGGGGCGCCGAGCAGGGAGCCCGATGCGGGGCTCGATCCCAGGACCCGGGGATCATGACCTGAGCCGAAGGCAGACACCCAACGACTGAGCCACCCAGGCGCCCCAGGTTAATTACATTATTTACCAAAAGAATTCAATTCAACCCAACAGGCAGAGGATAGGCTCAGAGAGAGCCCGTCCCAAGCATGAGGAGGTGAGCAGAGAGGCAAAGTCTTGCTGATTCATCCAGCTGCTTTCTGGTAGGTCCAGGGCCAGAGTGGGGGTTTGGTGTGGACAGTGGTCCTTGGTGGCCTCCTGAAATATATATTATAGGTCACTTATTTTTCTCTGCTGTATTTTTCTTCCATCATAGACATTTCTAAGAGAAATTCCTCCATTCCTCAGATGGGGAAACCACTTATAAAAGGGCACTCAGTAACAAAACAATCTTGAAAAAGAATGAAATTGGAGAACTCACATTTGCCAGTTTCAACACTTACTACAAAGCTGCAGTAATCAAGACAGTATAGTACTGAAATGATGCTGGACGTATAGATTAATGGAATCGAATTCAGAATCCAGAAATAAACCCTCACATTTACAGTCAGTTGACTTTCCAGAAGTGTGCCAAAACAATTCAACAGAGAAACCATGATCTTTTCAACAAATGGTGCTGAGATATCCACATGCAGAAGAATGAAGTTGGATCCTTACATCATACCATATACAAAAAATTAAAAATGGATCCTAGTTTTAGTGTAAGAGCTAAAACTACACAACTTTTAGTAGAAAACATAGACCTAAGTCTTCATGACCTTGGATTTATTTTCTAATAAAAAATAATTTAATGGATTCTCAGAAATGACATCAAAAGCACAAGCAAGAAAAGAAAAAATAGATAAATAAGACTTCAAGAAAATTTAAAACTTTTGTGCTTCAAAGGACAAAAAAGTGAAAATACAATGCACATCATGTGAGAAAATGTTTGCAAATTTTATATCTGACAAGGGACTTACGTCTAGAATATATAAAGAACTCTTACCACTCCACTCAACAGTAAAAAGACAACTCAATTTATACATGAACAATGGACTCTAGTAGACATTTTCCCAAAGAAGATATACAAATAGCCAATAAGCACAAGGAAAGGGCGGGACGCCTGGGTGGCTCAGTTGGTTAAGCAACTGCCTTCGGCTCAGGTCATGATCCTGGAGTCCCGGAATCGGGTTCCACATCGGGCTCCCTGCTCGGCAGGGAGTCTGCTTCTCCCTCTGACCCTCCCCCCTCTCATGTGCTCTCTCTCTCTCTCTCTCTCATTCTCTCTGTCTCAAATAAATAAATAAAATCTTAAAAAAAAAAAAAAAAAAAGCACAAGGAAAGACGCTCCATCGTGGGGCACCGGGCTGGCTCAGTCAATAGAACATGCAACTCTTGATCTCGGAATTGTAAGTTCAAGCTCTATGTTGGGCATAGAGATTACTTACAAATATTTATTTATTTTTAAAGATTTATTTGTTTTATTTGAGTGAGACAGAAAGTGAGTGCCGGTGAGGAGGGGGAGCAGAGAGAGTCTCAAGCAGACTCCGCACTGAGAGCAGAGCCCAATGGGGGGCTTGATCTCATGACCCTGAGATCATGACCTGAGCCAAAAAGAAGAGTTGAATGCCCAACTAACTGCACCACCCAGGTACCCCAAAAATAAAATCTTTAGAAAAATGAATAAAGAAATAAAGATGCTCCATCTCATCAGCCATCAGGGAGATGTCAATCAAAACCACAATGAGATATCACTTCATACCCACACCCGCTAGGATGGCTAGAATTAAAAAAGGCAGATAATAACAAGTGTTGGTCAGGATGTGGGAAAGTTGAAACCCTCATACACTGCATCTGGGAATGTAAAATGAGGCAGCTCCCTCGGAAAACAGTCTGGCAATTACCCAAGAGCCTAAACAGAGAGTGAGCATATGACCCAGCAACTACTCTCCTCGATACATATTCAAGAGAAATGAGAACATATATTTACACAAAAATCTGTGCATGAATGTTTATAGCGCTATTATTCATAATAGCCTAAAAGTAGAAACATACAAATGTCAATTAACTGATGAATGGATATATACATGTAGTATGTTGACCATAAAAGGGAATGATGGATGTAGGCTACAACATGGATGAATCTTGACATTTTCCTGAGCGAAGAAGCCAGTCACCCAGGACTACATATTGTATGATTCCATTTATTTGAAATGTCTAGAATAGGCAAATCTAAAAGGCAGAGAGTAAATTAATGGTTGCCTAAGGCTGGAGGTTGGGTGGGAGGATGGAGGTGATGGCGACAAGGTGTGAGGTTTCGACTTAGGGTGATAAAAATGTTCTAATATTGGATGATGGTCAAACAATTCTGTGAATATATTAAAAGCCACTGAATTGTACACTGTTTGAGAGTGAGAGAAAGAACACGAGTGGAGGGTCAGGCAGAGGGAGAAGGAGACTCCCTGTTGAGCAGGAATCCCGACACAGGGCTCGATCCCAGGACCCCAAGATCATGACCTGAGCCCAAGGCAGATGCTTAACGAACTGAGCCACCCAGGTGTCCCTGAATTACACACTTTAAATGGGAGAAATGTATGGTATGGGAATTAAATCTCAATAAAGCTGTGAATAAAAAGAAAAGGCACCAAGTGCTCCAAAAGGAGGACATCATCTACATGTACCAGCCACCCCCTCATTCCTGTCCTCAGATTCCATGCCCTTCTATCAGGGTTGGGGGCGTCCCTTGTTCAGATGCTCACAGAGTTTGTAAGTTCCAGATGGGGACAGAGAGGTGGCTGGATCCCTTCTGGAGCCTTTGGCCCCTTAAAATTTCAGCTTGTGGAATATTGGGGCCTGAGGATTCTGAGGTGGAGACAGTGAACAATGGGGGGGCGTGTTCAAGGGGTCTCAAGGGGGTTCCTCCAGATGGGTCATCCACCCCTGGGGCAGGAAGGCCTGGAGGAAAGGGGAATGCGCAGGGAGTCTCATGGGAGAGAGACAGGAGGAGAGAGGAACTCCCCAGGGAGAGGGAGGGACTTGGTCGCAGTGCTGACTTCCCTGTGCCAAGTGAGAGACTAGATCTTTTGGGAGGCGGGAACTGCGCCTGGGGTGGGCATCCCACAGGAATGGAGATCTTGTTTGCATTGTGGGGGTGCTGGCCTAGCTGTGGGAAGAACTGGAGGGTAGGCAAGGGTGGGAGGAAAGGAGGAGGGGGTGGGGATTTGAGCTCGTGGCTGAGGCAGGCACCTCCTCTGTGCCCCTGCTAAACAGTGAGAGCCTTCCGAACACCCAGTGTACCCTGAGGGCCTGGTGCGGTGCCTAGCTTGGGCATAGGTCCTGTGAAACCGTTGGTTGCGGAGGTAAACAAATGAGAATGAGTGGCTTGGAGGCAAGATAATATGGCGAGACAAGCAGTCTCGAAAGCCTCACCGTCCTGGGTCTGAATCCAGATCTTCTGCAGGCTAGCTGTGTTGTATTGGACAAGAGACTGGGCTTCTCTGAGCCTCAGGGCTGACCTCACAGGGGGGTTAGGAGAACACTGCTTACAAACATGACCAGCAAATAGAAGGTTCCTCCGTGTCGGTTGGCTGGCCTGCCATGATTTAAAGTGAAAACACCATCAAGATCTCCAAGATCCCACGGTCTCATGGAGGGGTAGGATTTACCCCCTAGAAACTCATTAACAGTAAAATGGGGTCTGTGATGCACCCATAGAAATAGCGTTAATGTTGCCTCGGAGGAACTCAGAGGCTGTGGGAGAGCTGAGGTGGCTGGAAGCTTGGAGAAGAGGTGGGAGGCTGAAGAATGGGGGTGGGGGTTGGAGAGGCAGAGAAGTGGGCTGCAGGCACAGAGGCTGGGGGTCCCTGGGATTCCGATTGCAGGAGGCTGCCCAGGTTAAAACAGCATGTTTGTGTAGGGGATGGTGGTACAGCCTAATATGAGGTTGGATGGGAGAGGCAGGAGAGACACCAAGAAAGGCTTTAGAAAGGGTTGTGTCCGGGCAGAAGCAGCTGGCGGGGGCGGGGGGGTGTTTTGATGAACTACATATGCCATTGGAGACCTTGGGGTTCTCAAGACAGTTGTCCCCAACTGCTGTTCCTGAAGCCCAAGAAGAACTTGGAGTTTTCATCTATAACAGCAGTAGCCATGACATTCTTGGGCACTCTTTAAAATGCATATCTAAAATGTTATTAAAGGCTCTGAGAAGTCCTGCAGCACAGAGCCTGTTCCATTTTAACTCTGCTCTTTCCAAACACATTTGGTCTCAGAATGTTTTTTTGCGATATACCTCGTAGGACCAATATTAGGACCAAAGAGCACCCATTTGGAAATACTGTGGTAGGAGAAAATTATGTGTGTTTTGGGATCCAACAGGCCATGGTTTAATTCCTGCTCTGTGGCCCAGTTGGTGTTGGACCTTGGGCAAGTCACTTTCTTCCCAGAGCCTCCTTCTCCTCAGAGTCATTGTGAGAATCAGGAAGAATTTGTGCGTAAATTCCATGTGGCTAGCTCTTTGGTTCTGGTGCATGGCCCTCAGTGCCAGGCCTGGCCCTGACTCTTCCCTTGAGTCAGGCTCTCTATATTACAGGTTCCATGTGGGCTGCTGAAGAGGTGCTTATATAATGGGTTTGGTGGAACTTTGATTGGATTTCTCCTGTGGGACCACAGCAACTGATGCCCCTCCCTTGGTACCCCCATTGGCTGTGGCACAACGGACAACAGAATGTACATGGAAGGAAGGATCAAGGCTCCTGGGGCCCAGCCAAGTCCTGGCATAAGCACCACCAGCAAGAGGCCGGGTGCCGAACCCCCCATGTCAGGAGTCAGCCAGGTAGGGCCCTGCACCTCATGTTCTGACCCTGCTATTCCCAGCAGGCATATTTCCCCTCCCCTGCCCAGGTTTCCTCCCCAACTACTTTAATTAAAACTCAGTTACAAGTGACAGAAAACCCAATTCAAACTGGATTAAGCAGGAATGAGAATATGTCAACTTGGGTAACGGACAGATCTACCAGTAGACTTCAGGTATGGCTGGATCAAGGTGCTAAATGAGTGTCTCTTGGCTCTGCCTTCCAATGTGCCATTCCTTGGCCCACTCTCCCTGAAAGACGGCAAGGATTTCCCTGGCCACTCCAGACTTAAATCTTCTCATCTTGCATCCTCTGGAATAGCATCCCCAACAGGAAGAAAGCCTCTTTGCCATAGTTGAAGAAAGTCTCTGGTACCACTGTCTTTGGCCCACTGTCACATGCTCATCCCTGAATTAGTCACCATGGAAGAGCAGAGTGGCCTGGATCTCTTGGTATAATGAAGACAGAGGTGGTACTCAGTTGGCTCCACCGAACCCCATGGGCCCCACGACCACCACCACCACAAACACACACACACACACACACACACACACACACACACACAAAATGCTGGCTTCTTTTACCAGGATAGATGCTGGATGAGTAAAATAAGAATTCCTACTTTCTCTACTATGTGCCTTCTGTGGCGTCCAGCCCCCTTTATAACCCTTATTCCCCTGGCAGCTGTTCCAGGCTTCCATCCATGACCTCCCCAGCCCCCCCGCCTGCACCCTAAGCTCTTATCACACCTCTCAGCCTCTTTCCATCCATCCTAAGTGCCAAGTGGCATGAACTGAACAGCACAGAGAAGGCCTTCCTTCCCATCTAGTTTCCCCAGAGCCAAAAATGTCACCATGAAAAAAAAGTCAACATTCCCATGGGTAAAGTATTGCCCTCTCCCTGTAACTTCTGTTACAAGTCATGGCTTCCCCTGGGGGGCAGGGAGAGCACCTGAAGGTGTGGGGGGGGCGCCTTGGAAGGAGGTTGGGGAAGACATTCAGGACTTCTTTCACCTCTACCCCCGGTTTATTTTTTCAACGAGCAAAGTCATGGGTCTCAGGCCCATCACATAACCATCTGTATGACCTTGGGCAGGCCACTGCACCCCTTTGAACCCCACTGTCCTGTGTGTGTCATGGGTTCAATCCCTGGAGGCATGGGCACAGGTCCTGCCCCCTGGGGTAGGTGACCTTAGTGTTGGCTTCCAGCACAGTCTCGCAGTAGAACAGTTATCATCGATTGATTGAGCCCGGCCATCTGGAGTCTGCTGACTCAGGTGAGGCTTGGAGCTAGCTCTAAGTCACTGGCTCAACTAGGGACTGATAGACCAAGGTGGGCATCAAAACCCAGTTCCAGAGCCTGAGCTCTGAAGCAGTGGAAATTGTGGACACCTCTCTTGCACCTTCTCAGGGTCTTGATATCCCCCAGGGGGCCCTGTGGGGCTGACTTCAGGGAATCCCCTTGGCTCAGGTGCTGCTCTGGACTTCAGCTTTGTGCTAGAGCCATTAGTACTGAGTGACAGCCTCTGGGCCGGTCCAGGTCTTACACCCAGCCACACTCTCCGCAGCCACCACCACCCCCCCCCCATCTCCTCCTCCTCAGCTCTCTCTGTCAGAGGCCAGGACAATGCCCAGGGAAAGGGAGGAGCCCTCCAGAATGGGTACTTGTGGCCATCCCTTGGGCCAGCGCCATGGACATCTCTGTTCCAGGTTGAGTTTCCTGATGCTGCAGGGATAGACAGTGGGAAGTCGCCCTCATCAACTCCAGGAGGGCCAGAAAAGGGACCTAGACACAGGGAATCCTCAGAGGAGGGTCCTCTGGAGCTCAGGACCCAGGAGCAGACGCATCCGGCAGGACCAAGGTGAGCTGGGGACTTCTTAGAGAAGGTCCAGGAGAGAACTCTGTGAGACACCTGGGAGACAAGGATGAGGCAGGGCTCCCAGCCTAAGGCAGAGGTGCCCTTGCTTCTCGCTCAGGCAGCACAAATCACGCCACATAATTACTCATGGAACCTTTCATCTGCACTGCCCTACTAGACCACAAGCTTCTTTGACGTGTCCTGCTCAGCCTCAAATCCCTCATGCCTGGGACTGGGCACATAGTAGATGCTCAGTAAATATGTATTCACTGAATCAATGGAAGAATGAACAAAAGAGAGGCAGAAACACACATTTACATAGCATTATGGTGACTGTTTTCTAAATGTTGTATATTTTTAAACTTGTCTACAGTGAGAGTGTAATCTTTTTTATTGATTGATTTTTATTGAGCGATAGTAAAGGTTATTGAGCAATAGTACAAAGCTTCCGAAGAGAGAGAGGGCCCAAGAGGGTTGCCCTAATCTTTTTTTTTTTTTTAACTAATCTCTATGTCCAGCCTGGGGCTCAAACTCATAACCCCGAGATCAAGAGTCACATGCTCCACCGACTGAGCCACCCCGGTGCCCCTAAATAATTAAGCAAAGTTTTATGCAAGTTTTTTTCTCTGTCCACGATAGAGGAGTGGTAAAGTCAAGTATGTTTATACATAAAATATATATGTAAAATATGGAATTTTAGGGGTCCCTGGCCGGCTCAGTCGCTGGAGCGTGCAACTCTTGTTCTCAGGGTTGTGAGTTCGAGCCCCACGTTGGGTGTAGAGATAACTTAAAAAAATAATAAAGAAAATAAAATATGGAATTTTATACTTTCACTTAAAAAGCATGTTTATTTAAGTGTTTTGGCTGGGAAAAATTTAGGTTATAATGATCATCGAAAAAGGATTGCAAAACGACCCATGAAATATGATTGTCCTATGTAAAACTGGGCAATTATTTGAAGATAGTAATGAAATAAATCCCCACGACAAATACATATGCACACCCATAGGAAGAAGCCTGGGGGAAGTATTCCAGAACAAGAAAGTGAGATCCGACTGACACAGATTCAAATCCTGAGCTGTCACCTGCAGCTTTACGACCCTAGGCTCAAGTCTTCAGTCTCAACTTCCGCACAGCCCAGTTCTCTCTGATTTTTTTTTTAAGATTTATTTATTTGAGAGTGAGAGAGAGCGGGGGGAGGGGCAGAGGGAGAGAATCTCAAGCCGACTCCTTGCTGAACGCAGAGTCTGACATGGGGGGCTCGATCCCATGACCCTGAGATCATGACCTGAGCCGAAACCAAGAATCGGACACTTAACCGACTAAGCCACCCAGGCACCCTCATCTGCATGATTTTTAAGATGTTGTAACTATAGCCTTAAAAAACAATCCCAAGCCGACTCTGTGCTGAGAATGGGGCCTGATCTCAGGACCCTGAGATCATGACCTGAGCCGAAATCAAGGGTCCGATGCTTGACTGAGCCACCCAGGCGCTCCAAGATTGATTTTTTATTTTTTTAAAAGATTTTATTTATTTATGTGAGAGAGAGAGAGAGAGAGCATGAGAGGGGAGAGGGTCAGAGGGAGAAGCAGACTCCCTGCTGAGCAGGGAACCCGATGTGAAACTCGATCCTGGGACTCCAGGATCATGACCTGAGCTGAAGGCAGTCGCTTAACCAACTGAGCCACCCAGGTGCCCTCCAGGATTTATTTTTAAGTCATCTCTACACCCAACATGGGGCTCGAACTCACAACCCTAAGATCGAGAGTCACATGCTCTACCAACCAAGCCAGCCAGGTGCTCCTGATTTTTTTTTTTTTTCTAAACGACGACAACAACAATAGTAATAATAATAATAAAATCCTAACTCCCCTAAACATTGACATCAAAATGTTTGGGATTTGGGGAATTCACATCAGTCCTTCATTCATCCTCTCCAGCATTAAGTATGCATCTATGGTGTGCCTGGTTCTGCACAGATGCTCTGAGAACCACATAGGAGCCTAAGAATATAAAACTGTGGCCCAATCCAGGAGCTGAGGTTTCGCTTTGTTGTTCTCCCCAGGAAGAAGCAGTCAACTCTGGCCCCCCAGGAAGGGCCCAGGGAGCTGCAAGCAGGCCGGAGTCAAGCCAAGCCAGGAAGTGAGCTGGGGGTGCTGCCTTCCAGGGTCCCTGCAGCACATGAAGGGAAAGAAACCGAGCACCAGCAGGGGAGACAGCAGAACCCAGGGATGGTGCAGGGTCAGGCCCTCCAGAGCCACCAGGTAAAGTCAGTGGAGATGTGGCAGGAGGGTACAGAATGACTGCCCCACACGGGAGACGAAGGAGCTCCCCCCCCCCGTGCCCCCCATTTCGGTACAGTTGTGTCTACTTCTCTCCGTGTCCTGGAGATGTCAAGTGTCCAGTCTCTGTGGGCTACTGGGATATTCTGGATGTTCTTTTTTTTTTTTATTATTCATTTGAGACACAGAGATACAAAGAGAGAGAGAGAGCATGAGCAGGGGGAGAGGCAGAGGGAGAGGGAGAAGCAGGCTTCCCGCTGAGCAGGGAGCCCGATGCGGGGCTCGATCCCAGGACCCAGGGATCATGACCTGAGCCGAAGGCAGACGCTTAACGACTGAGCCACCCAGGCGCCCCTGTTGAACATTATTTATTTATTTATTTATTTTTTTAGATTTTATTTATTTATTTGAGAGAGAGAGAATGAGAGATAGAGAGCACGAGAGGGAAGAGGGTCAGAGGGAGAAGCAGACTCCCCGCTGAGCAGGGAGCCCGACGTGGGACTCGATCCCGGGATTCCCGGATCATGACCTGAGCCGAAGGCAGTCGCTTAACCAACTGAGCCACCCAGGCGCCCTGTTGAACATTTTTTAATGTGCTTATGGGCCATGTGTATATCTTCTTTGGAGAAATTGCTGTTCAAATACTTTGCCCATTGTTTTAATTGGATTGGTCATTTTATGGTTGAGTTGTAGGAGTTCTTTATTCTGGATACTAGTCTCATGAGATACATGATTTGCACATTTTTTCTTCCATTTTATGGATCATCTTTTCACGTTCTGCCCTTTTTAAAAAAATGAAGTTCTTTGTTTTCTTATTATTGAGTTTAGAGGGTTCTTACATATTCTGAATACAAGTCCTTTATCAGACATGTGATTGATGAATGTTCTCCCCCACGCTGTGCCTTGTCTTCTATTCTCTTAACAGTGACTTTCAAAGAACAGACGTTCTGAATTTTGATAAGGCCTAATTTATTAATCTTTTCTTTAGGGCTTGAGTTTTTGGTGTTGTTTCTTGCGCATCTTTGCTTAACCCAAGGTCACATTGGACATCCGCCTATGTTTTCTTCAAGACGTTTTATAATTTTAGGTTTAACATTTAAATTCATGATCCATCCTGAGTTAATTTTTGTGCATGGCATGTTGGACCGTGGTTCAGGTTTTGACATATGGTCATCCAACCATTCCAGCACCATTTGCTGAAGACTCCCCTCTCCCTACTGAATTTGCACCTTTGTTGCAAATCAGTTGAGCATGCAGGTGTAAGCTGATTTCTGGACTCTTTTGTTCCACTCATATGTTTATCTTTATTCCAATACCATGCTGTCCTGATCATAAGTCCCTTACTTTACAATAAGTCTTGAAACCAGTTAACGTAACACCCCCTTTTTAGGGAGCATCAAGAAGGATCCTTGTACTTTGAACATTCCTTGGAAAATCCCACTTAAAGGGAAACACCTCAGTTCTTCCAAGCTCCCCTTCTTTTTTTTTTAAGAAAAATTATTTATTAATTTTTTTCTTTAAATTTTTTTATTGTTATGTTAATCACCATACATTACATCATTAGTTTTTGATTTAGTGTTCCATGATTCATTGTTTGTGCATAACACCCAGTGCTCCACGCAGAACGTGCCCTCTTTAATACCCATCATCAGGCTAACCCATCCCCCCACCCCCCTCCCCTCTAGAACCCTCAGCCAAGCTCCCCTTCTATGTCCGCAGAGAAGCACGGACCATGACTTTGGGTAGTCCGTGATTCCTGTGGGCCTCAGTGTCCTCATCCCTGAAAAATGAGTCTGTGCTACCTTCTAGAGGTGCTGAGAGCACTCAGTAAGAGGATGCTTGCAGTGCCTAGATCACAGTAAGCCTGGGATGACAGGTGAGTGTTGAGGTTCACCTGGGAGCCAGGCTCAGGCTCCTCATTTTGGTGTCCTGTCCTCGGCAGGGCCGGGAGTGTCAGCCCACCCCAGGTCACCAGGCCGCTCATGGGGCAGACATGGTGCAACCAGTAGAGATTTCTTGTACCTTGGACAGCGGTGGGCAGCCACAGGGAGACAAGCTCCCCAAGGAGGTGGACACCCCACATATCAGGCCACAGGAGGACAGTTCCCAGGAGGCAGTGCCCCTAATGCCCTTGGCAACTCCAGAGGAAAATACAGCCAACTCTTTCCCGCCATCCACGCCAGGACCTGACCCACCCAAAGGAAGGTAAGCCATCTTCTGATGCCATCCCCTACCCGACTCCCTGACCCAAAAAGATCACGCTTCTGTTAAGTTACAGGTGAGGTGGATTCTAGTCCTGACTGCTCCTGACCTGATATAGGACTTCGGGCAAGGCATGCCCCTCTGGGCCTCAGTTTCCCCATCTGTAGGATAGCTCTAACACCAGAATTCTTTGTTCTGCAAACCTGTACTTTTAGGGCCTCGTCCCGACGTGGGGATGTGAGGGAATGAGGGGCCCCTCTGAGATCAGAAGTTTGGAGAGATGAGGCTGGGGTAGTGCACCTGAGTGTCCCGGCGGCTGAGGGAAGGTCGGTGCAGAGGACGAGCCTTGAGCTGAGCCCCTCTGCCACCCCGGGGTCTCTTCCTTGTTTAGGGTCAAGGCTGTGGAAACCCAGCCAGCACCAGGGCCTGTTCCTCCACCGGTAAGTAGAGCCAGAGTGGGGGTGGGGAGGGCGTGGGTGGGGCATCAGGAGGAGGAAGGAGGCAGAGGAGGGGCTGGGATGGTATTTGGAGTCCAACTGGGGAAGGTGTGAGTGTGAGTGTGACTGTGTGTCTGTGAGTGCACACATGGATGTGCATACACGTGCGTGTGTTTGTGTGTGTGCATGCACAAGTGTGTGTGCATCTTGGGTGGCAGGCAAAGGATGCCCTTGGACTCTGGAGCTTGGAAAACGGAGCAGAACCCTGGGCTGGTAGCTGGTAGCTGGAGGGGTTTGTCAGGGGAGATTTTTTTTTTTTAGAAAGAAGATAATATAGCATGTTTATGCTGATGGACAAAATAGAGCTGGTGCTTTAGGGACAAGAGCTGCATCTCACGTGGGAAAAAGGGCTGGGCAGGGGTCTGCGTGGCACGGCTTTGTGGCTGGAGGTAGGCTGGGGACGGCCCGTCCCCGTAATAGGAGGTGCAGGAGGTGGCTAGATTTGTTGGATGAATGAGTGGGCATTTATTAAGTGCCTACCACGTGTCATCACTGGATACTCATGGATAAAAAAGGCAAACAAGGTGTTGCCCGTATGAGGCTTACCTTCTGGTCAGGTCGGCAAACAACAGGTATTGACAAGGCCACTGAGGCTGTGCTGATCCCAGGGAAGGAAATAAATGAGGGGTGGGGCGGCGAGTGACTCACTTAAGACCCAGGCTCATAGCGCTGGGAGGCGGCAGAGCCCAGGTCAAGTGCAGGGAGGAGACTCGTGGGGCGCATGAAAGATTCGGAGGACATCCCCCCGGGGCCCAAAGAGGTAGAACAGTGTGAGGATGGGGAGTGAGTGGCAGGAGAAGCTTTGTGGGGCAGTCTGGCTGGATCTTCTCCCCTGTCCTGTCCCCAGCAGGTGAGGGGCATTGGACAGAGGAGGGATCCGGACCCTGTGCTGAAGCAGCCTCAGAAGCCCACGGTAGCCGCGGGGGCCCAGAACCTTGGGAACCTTCGGCAGGGCTTCATGAAGTGCTTGCTGGAGGTGGAGGAGGAGGAGGCCACGCATCGGAGGGCTGCCAAGGCCCGGGCCCTGCCAAACCGGAAGTCCCCCAGGACGCTGGCCCCCGTGCCCACCTCAGCCCCAAGCCTGCCTCAGACCCCAGCCTCGGCCCCTGCGATGGCCCCATCCTGGGCCCTGTTGCCAGCCCCAGGGCCAGTCCCCGCGCCCACCCCCGTGGGATCCCCAGCCCCGGCTTCGGGGCTGGTCACAGCCCTGCCGGCCCCCACCCTGGACGTGGGCTGGAGAAGGGCTGAACTCTTGCACCCGCGCGGAGAGAGGAGCCTGAGCAGCACCAAGACACGGTAGGAGCCACCCCGGAATGGGCGCCCGAGGTCAGAGCCTGTGTCCCCGGCATCTCTTGTCCAGGCTCTCGTCCCAGCACTGCACCTGTTCCCTCTGCACTTCTCCTCACTTCTGCCCCCCTCCCTCCCCCATGTCTAGGTCCTTTCCCCATTTCTGCGAGCTTTTCTCCTTCTAATCTCCAACGGGCGTGTCCCTTCCCCTCGCGTCCCCTCACCCCTGCATCGCCCCACCCAGGGTCACTCTGAGACTCTCACGACCTCCCAAAGCCCCCCTCCCCAGGGTCCTTCCCCTGCCCTCCTCTGCCCCACCTTCGTCCTTGCCCTCCCCTGGCTTTGGGGGTGGCCCCGGGCAAGGGTGGCTGGATGTGCGCCCGGTGTCTGGGGTCTGTCGTCTGCAGGCAGGAGCTAGAGGAGCGCCGCCTCCTCAAGCCGGACCAGAACTGGGATGAGAGGTTCGAGGAGCACCTCACCCTGAGGCAAGAGGAAGGTGAGGGCGGGCCTGTCGGGGAAGCCCCTCCCGGGGCAGAAGTCTCACTCGGTCCTGGGGAGGGGGGCGGGCCACACCGCGGACCTGGTGCCCACTGCAGCCCCATGTCATGGGCCCAGGGGAGACCTCCTGGCTAGGGAGACAAGGCAGGCTGGCAGCTGTCTGGGAGACCCAGAGCCCCTGCTGGGCCCTCTCCCTTGGGGTCCAATCCTCTTCCAGTTCCACAGCCGCCTCTCTGAGTAAATGGAGCAAGTCCGGCAAAGTTCTTTAGGTTTTGGAGGCATTTCTGCCTCCCTCAACCCAAGCCCACTCTCCTGGGCCTCCGGAGGCGGACTGGATGGGAGGCAGGGCTCCAGGGCCCGCCCTGTCCGCCCTAGACCATCCCTCACCATTTACCAAGACCAGTTGCCCTGGACAAGTCCCATTTCCCGCCGCATCTCACCCCCTCCAAACAGTTTTAAAGTTCGGAGCCCCCACCTGGGGGAGGCACTGTGTCTTTGTCTCCATCATTCTTGGGGCTGGGCCCCACGACTCCACTTGCACCGAGAAGGAGGGGGAGGAGGGAGCACTGATTCCATGCGCTCCACAGGTTGCCTGCAGCCCCGCCACACCCTGCCCCCGCCCCAGAAGAGCACGCGTCTGTCCTCCCTCCACTCTTCGCTCCTCCCCCCAGATCTGTGACTCTCTCCATTGGCCCCTTCTTCTGACTTCCCTGAATGCGCTCTCTGGCTCCCCGGGGCCGCTTCCTGGGAGCTCACTCCTTCTAGCATTACAACTCTCTAGCCGTTTTCAGAGAGGCTCTTCTTCTGCCCCATGTCCTTGAGCAGAGTTCACGGACAAGGTGCTGCTGTGGCTTAGAGACTCGGCGTTCCCACCACGCCCCTCAGCCCTGTCTGGCTGCCCTGTTCGGATGGTCCAAACCATGGTGCATTTTGCTCACATCTGCTTTTTTTTTTTTTTTTAAGATTTTTTAAAATTATTTTTTATGAGAGAGAGAGTACAAGCAGGGTACCACTCTGTCCATCTCACAGATCAGAGGCTCAGAGAAGTACGGGGGCTTGCCCCGTGGCAGTTGCATGGTTTGCTTGGGCTGCCATAACAGAGTATCACAAACTGGGTGGCTGAGCATTTCTTTGCTCAGAGTTCAGATCAAGGTGTCGGCAGATTTGGTTTCTTCTGAGGCCTCTCCCCTCACCTTGCAGGTGGCCGCCTGTGTCCTCACGTGGTCTCACGTGGCCTTTCCTCTGTGCACACACATCCCTGCTCTCTCTCGTGTTTCTGCATTTCCTTTTCTTGTAAGGACACCAGTCAGATTGGATTAGGACCCATGCTACTGTCTCATCTTAACTTAACCGCCTCTTTAAAGGCCCTGTCACTAAATACAGTCACATGCTAAGGGCCTGGGGGTTAGGCTTCAACATAAGAATTTCGGTGGGATGCAGCTCAGCTCACAGCAGCAACCCAGCTTATTATTAAATGGCAGAGCCAGCCCCCTCCCTCAGTCCGCTGATTCTGCCGGCATTTTGCTGCGGGCTGAGAAGCCAGGCACAGCTTTGGCATCAAGCTATCCTAGAAGGCACGTCCATGCAGATAAGCGACCACAGAGCACCAAAGTCAAAAGCACAGACTTAAGGGTCAGAAAGACCTGTCTGGTCACCTAACCTTTAAACCTCAGTTTCCCTATCGTGACAAAAGGAACAAGCATCCCACTCTTACGAGGCTGTTGTAAGACTTTAATGAGAATGTGGCTGTAAAGAGCCTAGCACAGTGCCTGGCACATAATAGGGGTGCCCTAAAGTGGGTGTGCTCCTGGTACAAAGTGAAGGTCACTAAGGAGCTTAGCTTTTGGCACACCAGCTGAACCCTTGGCCTGACCTTGGAATGGAGAGTGGAGTGAGTTAGTGGGACTGAGCTGTTTTAGTTGCCTGTGCCCCTCCATCCAGCCGTGGTGGTAAACGGTGCTGGGCAGGAGGGTGGTTGGAAGCGGTTGGGGGGGGGGTTGGATGGTGGGAACAAGGCATGTCCCCGCCTCACGTGACCCCACCCCACCCCTGCTGCCCCACTGCAGCCTTCCGCAGTTACTTTGAGATCTTCAATGGCCATGGCGAGGTGAACGCCCAGAGCCTGGGGAACATCCTGCTGCTCGTGGGCATCTCCCTCTCGCCGGCGCAGGTCGAGGACGCCCTAATGAGTGCTGACATAGATGGTGAGTTGGGGGGAGGCGTCATTCTGAGTCCCAGGCACGGCCAGCAATGGGAGACCTTTCTAGTCCCCCAGGGCTCCCCGCTTCAAGGGGCCTGCATGTGGTTTAATGCTCTGCTGTTGCAGTCTGGAAACATTTCACAAATTTTTGAGTGAGGGGCCCCATCCTGCATTTTCATTTTCCACTGGAGCCCACAAACTATGTGGTTCATCCTGGCCCCCAACATTAATGCTCTCTGAGCACCTACTCAGTGCCAGGTTCTGGGGACCCAGAGATGACCATGACCTACCTCCTGACCCTGTGATGTAGTCGGTGATGTCTGAGATCCCTCCCTTTTAGGCCTGTGTGTGTGCTTCACAGGACATTCTCCCATGACTCGGTCACTCATTTGACCAGGTGTGTGACCTTGGACAAGTCACTGAAGTCACCAAGCCTCGGTTTCTGTACAACGGGGCTGATAGCAGTATCCATCTCACCAGGCTGCTGAAAAGCAAATGAGATAATCCAGACAGAGCGTTGAGCACAATGCCTGGTGCACAGAATGTGTCCAGGAGACATTGAGCTGCTAGTATTATTCATCCAGTAAATATTTATTAAATGCCCACTGTGTGCCCATTCCTGACCCGGGCACTGAGAATAAAGAGATGTGTAAGACCCATGAGCCCTGCTCCTGAGGTGCTCACATAGATAGTGACACAGAAGAGTCACCAAAGGAAGCAGCACTTAAGGTGGCTTGGAGGAAGGGGTCAGGAAGGAAGGCTTCCTGGAGGAGGTGATGCCTGAGCCAAATTGTGAAAGATTAAATAGTGGTTAGGCAGGGAGAGAAAGAAAGAAGGGCATTCCTCGCGATAGAAATAAACTAGACAAAGGGAGGAGGATGCGGGGTGAGGGGAATCCCACGTGGTTTGGTTGGCTAGATGCCGGGCGTGGGGAGCAGTGGAGCTGTAAGGGGCCTGGGCTCCTGGACACTACCTGTCTGACCGTACTTCCTCCATCACCGCACAGGGGCGAATCTACACACACAAGCCAGGAATTGACCCCAGCTCTGCCCCTACGTGACTCTTGGCAAAAGCTTGCTTTTCTCTGTGTCTTAGGCCCCATCTGTGACATGGGGATAAGAGTATTAGGCACCTCCAGAGGGTGGTTTTCAGGATTAGAGACTATTCATTCATTCATTCATTCATCTAGTAGCTCAGAAAACATCTGCTAAGACTTACCTGACTTTTTGTTGTTGTTGTTAAGTAATCTCTACCCCCTATGTGGGGCTCAAATTCACAACCCTGAGATCAAGAGTCGCATGTTCCTCTGAGCCAGCCAGGCGCCCCCAAGACCTACCTGTCTTAAGCCCTGAGGACACAGTACAGAACAAAACAGACCCAGTCCCTGCCTTCTGGCACCTCCATTAAATTCCAGATCTTACGAGCGTGTGGTTGAAGTACAGTTTTATGAGAGTGTTTGGGGGGCAGCTGACCTGGTCGGGTGTGACTTCTCTTGGGAAAGGGATCATCAAGCAGAAGCATGCCTAGGATGTTTACTAAAGAGTTAGAGGGCGGTAGAGAGGATTCTAGGAAGAAGCGGCAGCATGTGCAAAAGCCCGGGGCAGGGAAGGTGCCCCCAGTGGGAGAACAGGTTCATGCGGGGGGCACTTAACACCAGGTGAGGCTGGAGACAGGGAACAGGCAGGTCCTGCAGGGCCTTGAAGGCCGCAGTAGGAATCTTGTGGGTACATAATTCTCATGCAGTGACTAGCACATGGTAATAATAACAGTGGCTGACATTTACTGAGCTTGTATAATACATACGGCTCTGTTCTAAGCACTTTGCTTCATTCAATCTCCCATGAAATAGGTATCATGGTTATTCTCACCCTCTAGATGAGAAAACTAAGGCTTAGCAGGGTTGGGGGCTTTGCCAAGGTCACACGGATAGTAAATGGTGGACCAGGGATGTGAACTCAGACTGCTGCCCCGAGTTCTAGGAGCTCCCAACCCAGGAGATTTTAACTTCCACCTTCTACTTTGTTGTGTGCACCACACTTGCTGCACTGAATACGTTACATATGTGTTGAATATGTGTCTTCTATGTGTTTTATAATCAAACCCATTGAGTAAATGCTAATAACCATGCGGGGCTGCAATGCCTGGGCCCACTCTGGCAGGCCCCTGTTCACTGTTATACCCTTGGCCTCCACAGGAGATGGTCATGTAGGCTTCAAGGACTTCTTGGCTGTGATGACAGACACCAGGCGCTTCTTCTGCTCCGTGGGTGAGTAGGGATGAGCCCAGAGGAGTCAGAGCTCGGGGAGGGGTCTGGTGGCTGGTGGACAGTGGGCATCCAGAACTACCAAATGGTAATGGCAGACATCATCCCATGTCCCCAGAGCAGAACGCCCTGACGGACATGGCTCCCCCAAACCCCCACACTCTGCTCTTTGAGATCCTGTCCCTGCTGGTGGAGATGCTGGCCTTACCGGAGGCAGCCTTAGAGGAGATCACCAAGTGAGTGCGGCTGGTGTTTGTGGGTAGAGGGTTGCAGACACAGAAATGGCACCTAGTATTTTGGCAGCTGAGGAATTTTGATAGTTAGGACTCTCAGTTGCAAGTGAAAGGCACCCAAATAAAACTGGCTTAAGCAAAAGGGGAATATATTGCCTCACATAACAGATCATGGCCTCAGGAATGGCTGGATCCAGGAGACCAGATACCACTAAGGCTTTATCTCTCCTACTTATCTCTGTACCCTGGTTTCAAGCCCAGCAAGGCTTGGGGCACCTGGGTGGTTCAGTTGATTAAGTGTCTGCCTTTGGCTCAGGTCATGATCTTAGGGTCCTGGTGTGGACCCTAAGATTCCCATGTTTTTCCATTTCCCCAGTTTAAAAATAGGTCATTTCCAATAACTTCAAAGCCCTGTGTGCCCTACCCCAATCACAAAACACTCTCTCCCCAAATAAGAACCATTATTCCCTTGCTTTCTGTTTTAAATTTCCACTACTTGTTTTTTCCCCTTGTTTACTGAAAATTTCAAATATACAGCAAAGTTGAGAGAATTTCACAGTGAACGTTTTATATACTCACCACCTAGATTCTACCATTGCCAATCTGCCATGCTTGTTTTAATCTTGTGTCTACCCATCCCTCTATTCATTGATCCATATTGGTTTTTTATTCATTTCAAAAAAAATTATAGTCATTTCCCTCTAAGTACTTCAGCATACATACCAATAACTAGAGATCGACATTTATTTAGAGCTTTTTTCCCCCATTATTTGAGGTATAATTTACATTCAGTGAAACACATAAATCATTAGTGCGTGAATCTCAGCCACTGCTGACTCTTGGGCAACCTGAACCCCTCTCAAGTTATATACAACTTGACCATCATTCCCGAAAGTGCCCTCATGATCCTTCCCAGTCGGTTTCCGAACCCACTCCCACGGAGGCAATCACTTTTCTGATGTGTTTTCCATCCCAGATAGGTTTGGCCTTTTGGCAACTTCACATCAATGGAAACATACAGTATGGAATCCTAGGGTCAGCTTCTTGAACTCAGCACAATGCTTTTGCAACTTGTCCATGTCATTGTGGGCATCAGGGTTCACCCCTTTCTTTTGCTGAGTAGTGTTGCACTTGTGGATCTACCACAGTCGGTTCATCCATTCTTTTACTGATGGATTTCTCTGCGGTTCCCAGTGTGGGGTTATAATGAGCGAAGCTGCCATTAACATTTTTGCACAAGTGCTTCTGTGGACACATACTTTTGTTTCTTTGGGCAAATATGCAGAAGGGAATTGCAGGTAGGTGTATTTTACTTCTGAGAACTCACCAGACCTTTTCCCAAGTGGTTGTACCATTTTACCATCCCACCATTAATAGGAGAGTTCCAGTTGCTCCATATTTTGTGCAAATTTGGTACTGTCAGTCTTTCTTCTGGTAGATACGGAGTGGCACTTTCTGATCTTCACTCACATTTGTTTGTATTCCTGAATACTTTATTGCTTAGCTTTTCATAAACTTTGTATGAGTGGACTCATACTTCAACCAAAGCACCATATTGCAACAGATTGAATGCAGAGCAGATATGAGACAGAAAGCTGTCTTCCTTTATGCCAGACTCTGGCAGAGTGGACTCCTACTGTAGTAAGTCTTTTGTTACTTGTTTTTTCTCCTCAACGTTTTGTTTTTGTGATTCATTCACATTCTTGTAATTATCAATCATTTATTGTTCTCACTGCTACATACTATTTTTTAAAAGATTTTATTTATTTATTTTGACAGAGAGAGGGAGAGAGCACAAGCAGGGGGGAATGGCAGGCAGAGGAAGAGGGAGAAGCAGGCTCCCCGCTGAGCAGGGAGCCCAATGCGGGGCTCAATCCCAGGACCCTGAGATCAGGACTTGAGCCAAAGTCAGACGCCCAACCAACTGAGCCACCCAGGTGCCCCACCCCTTTACACTCCTAAAAATTTTTGAGGACACCAAGGAACCTTTGTCAATATTTTCTATATTTGAACTTAAAACTGAGAAAAAAATTAAATTACTCATTAATTTATTTAACTATAATAACCCCATTACGTGTTAACATAAAAAACCATTTTAAATGAAAAATAACTGTAGTTTCAAAAAAAGTTAATGAGAAGAATGGCATTATTATACAATATTGCAAATCTCTTCAGAGTCTGGCATAAAGGAAGACAGGTTTCCATCTCATATCTGCTCTGCATTCAATCTGTTGCAATATGTTGCTTTGGTTGAAGTATATAAAGAACTCTGACCCACACAAATATGTAACTGGAAAAGGAAGTATTTTAATAGCTTTTTCATTTAATACCCACACATCATGTGGATCTTTTTCTTTGAGACAACACCAGACTTGATAAGTGGTAGAGCCTTATGTGGTTGCAATATGTAATCTGAAACCGTATCAATGAACTTTTTGTACTCTTTTGCTTATTTTTAAAAATATTTTCTTTCTTTCTTTTTTTTTTTTTAGAGAAAGAGCACAGGGGGAGGAGCAGAGGGAGAGGGAGATGAAGGGGAAAGAATCCCAAGCAGACTCCCAAGCCGAGCAGGGAGCCCAACACGGGGCTTGATCTCATGACCCTGAGATCATGACCTGAGCTGAAACCAAGAGTCGGATGCTCAACTGACTGCGCCACCCAGGTGCCCCTGTACTCTTTTATTTTTTTTTAAAGTCTGTTTATTTAAGCACTCTCTACATCCAACGTGGGCTCAAACTCAAGAGCCACACACTCTATTGACTGAGCCAGCCAGAAGCCCCTGTTTAAATATAAGAGTCTAGGGGCACCTGGGTGACTCGGTTCGGTTCATGATCCCAGGGTCCTGAGATCGAGTTGCACGTCAGCTCCCTGCTCAGCAGGAAGTCTGCTTCTCCCTCTCCCTTTGCCTGCCGCTCTGCCTACTTGTGCTCTCTATCTCTCTGTCAAATAAATAAATAAAATCTTAAAAAAAATAAAAATAATAAATAAATATTAAAGTCTATTGGTCTATCTTGTAGTTTGAATGGCCCTTCTCCCACGAATGTTTTTGTAACACGCACTGGTCATTTGGAAAATACTGTGTATCTCCCAGGTGCTGACACATTTCATTTTAATTAGTGTATATATATATATATACACTATATAACTAGTATATATATGACACTATATTAATTAGTATATATATACACTATGATATTATAATTAATATCACCACTAATATCAGAAAAGTCTTTAAGTATTAGAAGTGTTGTGTGTGGCTATAGTTCATTCATTTTCACTGCTATAAACTATTTTGTAGGGGCGCCCACGTGGCTCAGTCGGTTAAGCATCTGCCTTCGGCTCGGGTCATGGTCCCCGGGTCCTGGGACCGAGCCCCGCATCGGGCTCCCTGCTCCACGGGAAGCCTGCTTCTCCCTCTCCCACTCCCCCTGCTTGTGTTCCCTCTCTCGCTGTGTCTCTGTCAAATAAATAAATAAAATCTTTTAAAAAATAAATAAACTATTTTGTATCAGGACATGTATATGCAAATGTTAATGGATTTAAGTTTCCCAAAATTCTTTTTCTTGAAAGCTTTCATTTTATCGGAGGCAACAAATGCTGTCAGTTGTTCTCCTTGAAGTGATGGGCTAACCTCGTCCACTTTTAGAGAAATATCCACCGAATACCAAAGGCTGAATAACCATAGTTTGTCCTTCGTTCAAGTAAAAATGTCATTTGATGTCCAGGAGAGGAAAATTTTCCATTTCTCTCTTAGAATTTCCAACTGGGACTGACATAAGATAGATGAACAGGAGGGATGCCTGGCTGGCTCCATCAGTAGACTGTGAGACTTGATCTCAGGGTCATTAGTTCAAGTCCCACATTGGGTGTAGAGATTACTTAAATAAATAAATAAAACTTAAAAAAAAGGATGAACAGGAGAAAAGCATATGAATCTTATTTATATGTAAATGGGCGGCCTCATAAGAAAAATGAAGACCCAAAGAAATGACTCAGCCTGAGTGTTTCTATACTAGGTTGAACAAAGAGTAGTGAATGTGGAGAAGTAATGAAACTACACGGGCAGACTAAAGGAAGATAAGAGTTATTTTAACAAGGTCTATTACAGAGTTCTCTCAGCCAAGGCTCCCATCTCTTGTGATAAGAATGTTTCTTCCTGGGGCACCTGGGTGGCTCAGTTGGTTAAGCGTCTGCCTTCGGCTCAGGTCATGATCCCAGGGTCCTGGGATCAAGCCCCACGTCGGGCTCCCTGCCTGCTTCTCCCTCTCCCACTCCCCCTGCTTGTGATCCCTCTCTTGCTGTGTCTCTGTCAAATAAATAAATAAAATCTTTAAAAAAAATAAAATAATAAAAAAATTAAAAAGATTTATTTACTTATTTTAGAGAGAGAGAGTGTGTGTGTGCAAGCAAGCAGGGAGGGGCAGAGGGAGAGGGAGAGGAAGAGAATCTCAAGCAGACTCCCCACTGACCGTAGAGCCCAACACAGGGCTCCATCTCAGGACCTTGAGATCATGACCTGAGCCAAAACCAAAAGCCAGTCGTTTAACCGACTGAGCCACCCAGGCGCCCCTCAGTTGTTTTAACTAAAATAACCATATGCCAAAAGTGGCCTGTTTGGTAGTGGCATGCCCTAAACTCCTTCATTCCCCACCTACCTGAAACTTTCTTGTAAATCTCATATATTAAAAGCTTAGTGACTACAGGGAGAAATTTGAGTTAGGAATTGTGATATAAGATACCTGTAAAAAGGGGAGAAAAACAGATTGTAACAAGCAGAAAAGAACAAATCTAGGCATGATGTCCCATAGTTCACTGGCTCAGTGGTCCCTTCAGTTTGTATTCATCCTACTTTGGGTTCATTGAGCTTCCTGGATTTATAATTTATAGTTTTATCATATTTCTCTTTTTTTGGTACATTTTTCCATAAATAATATTTTTATATGCCCCCCTCCTCTCCTTCTGGGACTCCAATTCCATAACACTTAAAAGACTCTGTAAAGGTC